ACAATACAATTTTAAACAGCTTAGAATCGTTTATATTTCTGTAGTTATAATAAAATTCAATTCTTTTTCCTACAAAAGTTGCTAAAATCAAATTTAAGTTTATTTTTACAAGTACTTTTTCAGCTTTATAATATTCCGATTGTTTTTAAAACTATCTTAACTTTGATTTCGGTTCATATTAATCTTTCAAGAAGTTATCCGTTTAAGTACTTTGCTCTTCCGCAAGAAATATTAGATCAACTCTGACACCAATCATTTCAAATGTGTTCCTCCCCCATTTTTTCTTCAATTTAAATTCCGAAGCACATGACCCCTATAATTACATCTCTTTCATAGAGATAACAAACCAATTTGAACCAGCTTTCAATGCGAAGATAAATGATTTCACATTTGCCGGAAGTTTGGAGAACTTTTTTCAGCTGGCCATTTGTCATTAATCAATTAGAAGCATTTCCCCTGTCAAATGTGTCAAACTATTGCATAAACTAACATTAACCCAGGACAACTATGACCGGTTGAATGGCTAATAAATTTTTCAGACCCGCCAACTCGCTGGGCCAACATAAATCTACATGGCCAGCAACTCGTACATATTTCATTTATGTGCTTCTCTGCGATTTCCCGCTCCAGTTTTTCTCGTTCATCTTTTTTTTTTTTTTTTTGGCCTGAGCCAAACATGAGCTGAGTTGCTGAGTTTCATTTCCTTGGCACTTCCTTGCAATACTTTCCCTTTTTTAATATGCTCATTCAATTTACTTGCGTCGACTACCGACTGCTCCTCGATTATTGATGACATGACAAACAAGGTACGATTTCCGGATTTCTCGGGCGCCCCGAGGAAGAAGTTCGAGAATCATTTTTCTTTCAGCTCGATTGTATTTGTATGCGCATTAACTTCATTTTGCAATCATGCGCGCCATAAATCCAATTTAATTGTGCTGCTCACTCAGACTCACACACAGACACACCAACAGTCATAGCTATAGCCTTAGCGCACAGATACAAATACAAAAACACACGCATGAGCTGCTTGAGTGCACGGCGGCGTATACTTAATTTTTGCTCGTTCGTGCGCTCAATTCCGCTTCCTCGCAACTTCTAACTCAATGCTAAATAGAAGCACATAAATTTCCGTTTTAACCAACCCTCAATCCCCCAGCCACCCCTCCGATATATCCGGTTTGATTTCTTCGGGATTGCATTTTGAAAAATAGATTTTTTATACTGTTGCTCCTTTGGGTTTTTATCTACCTGTCTCTGTCTGCATCTGAGCTTCGGCGTCTATCTCTGTCCCCCCATTGATTTACTACGCACAATTTCGTACCTTTATGCTGGAAATGGTCGAGGTCTAGCCAGGAGGTCCAGTTGGAGTGGCTCGTTGTGATTTATGTTTGATTGAAATGCTCTAAATTGTATGCTAATCTGGACTTTGACACAAAGCTCATTTGTTGTTGTTCCCTGCCCCCGCCCGCGATCGCCTTTTGCCCGTTGTTCCCAATTGCAATCGCATTTAAATGTTGTGCTTGGCTTTTGGCAGTTTGCCTAAGCGTTTGCTAATTTGAAAACCATTTCGGTCTTGAGCTGCTATCAAGGGGTTGCTTCTTCGAATGCCAAAATCATTTATCAGGCTTTCGGGTTCTCAATTTGGTTTCGACACAATTAGGTTCACTTTCAGGGGGGCTAAAACTTCAAACGAACGTTCATGTTAATTGTTGAGAAATGTTCTTGGGATTTTGAAATATTCAAGAGATATTTTGATAATCAAAAATGGATTATGGGTTTTGAGATTTATTGAGCTTTTTGGTCAATAATTTCGATGTATTGCTGAAATATATCATGGGAGTTCTGGTTAAGCCATTAAATTGGTACTTTACCTAAAGCCTTTCCTTAAATTTCAAACTGTCCTACTGAAGAGCACATAATCCCTTCATAATCACGTAGCAGCCATCACAAGTTGATGTGATTGCAGACATTATGTGCAGCTGGTTGGGCGCGGTTGCTTCTCTATCTCTTGACCATAAATTCCGCCGGATCTCATTCCACCAATTTCCTGTCGCATGCCCTGCTAAGTATGCTATATAGTTGTTTTTTTCTGGTTTTTGTTTTTGCTTTTAATAAGTCCAACAACTGTCAACTGCGTAGGGTGAAACAGCTGAAATTCAGCTATAAATTGCCGTGAGTGAGTCAAAATGGAGCATGCTTCATTAATGCGACAAGAGTGGGGGGTGCTGACCCCTTAACCCTGCACACCACACATCCCTTAGCCCTTTACCATGTCCACCTCTTAACCCTTTGAAAACCCGCACACCCCTCCTGACCAGCAACACACAAACAACCAGCACAATTGGCTGCACTTGTGTGTCCACTTAGTTGGGCGAAACAAAACCCACAATATCCACATGGCAGAGTGGTTGCACTCACGACCCTTCCCTACATACCTCCCCCTTGACCCATCAGCGTCCGCCCCCCTTAACCCAGCAGTGGCCAGTACTCTTCATGTTGGTGCGGTTAAGTGAGCTCCGTCAGTTGTGTTTTATTTTTGCCTTTTTTGAGTTATGCGCGGCATTTCCGGTCTTGTCATTTCATACTAATCAACATCCGTTGAGCGAAATTTTTGGCCAAGCACTTTGGACTGCATTATTTCGGGGCTAAATATATATGGGGGGAAGCTCCGATAGATTCAGGGTAATATTTTCTGGTCCGCATTATACGCATTTGTTGCAGCATTTGCATTGTAATTGCAACAGTGCGTATAAGTGATGTGCATATAAATTAGATTTGCTTCGCTGCGGGTTGTCGGTCGGGCAAAAAGTCCAACTATGGAAATTGAAAATTTATTGCATACCCCGTGGCCAGCACTCGGTTGGTGGTATGAGTGTGGTTTTGGTCAAGCTTCGGTTCGGTTTGGTTTGGACTGGCTTTCATTACAAATTACGCATACGCACCGTTGTTAATTTCATATTCATAAATGATGGCCGCACTCCTTGGGGAAATTGCACGAAGCACTCCAGCTTTGTGGTCCTTTATGCCACAGGTCCCGTTTTTCATATGTGTGGGTGTATATGCAATATTTGCTAACAGAAAAAAAATGAGTAAATTATGCCTTGTGAGCCTTCCTTCATCCTTCAGGCGTCTTTGATCTCCGCCCACTGAGCTTTGTGGCAAATCTCCGCTTTGGTCTACTCCAAACTAGGCAAAGGCAAAGCCAGGCAACATAATCCGGTACATTTGAGTCTGAATGCTCTCTTAGGTCCAGTCCATTTGGCCACTTGACTGGCCCCAGCCCCAAAAACGCAGCTGGCCATCAAATCCCCAGAAAGTCCAAACCATAAACATAAAAACCAAAAGGGCACAACTCCACCATCGTTCGGTTCGCTCGGCCATCGAGTACTTTGTTGAATTAAACCTCTAATTAGTGAAAGCGCTTTTTGGCCGGGATTAAAGGTTGCCCAGGGACATCTTGAATGACTAATGAATATTTCTTTGAATTTTTTAAAGATTTACTTCTAAGAAGGGGCTCAAAAATCCTGTAGCCAGCTTGATTAAAAATGTTCATTAAGCTTCCAGCTTAAGCAAAAGCAGGAAAAGGCTCCTTAACTCTAGAAAGCAGGAAATGAAAGGAAGTTATGGATTTTGGGAAATTTGTAAGGGTACATATTTATCCATAATGTAAAGTATAGTAATAAGGCTTAAAAAGCTCTTTGGGTACTTTAAAAGGTTTAAGAAACAGGTAACAGGAAATGGAAAGAGTATTAGGTTAAGTTAAATATTAATTCCGATTTTTAAGCAAATAAATATGTTTGGTTTCCATTATTTTACTTCTTAAATGTTAATTTTGTGTATATTCCAGCATTATCTTTAAAGAAAACTTCTTTTCAACTTTCTCAAATGCAAAGATAATTCCAAAGACAAACTGTTAATAAACTCTTTCCGAATGAAAACACCTTACAGGTACCAACTCCATCAAATTCCTTATGCCAACGAGATCTTATTGCTCCTTTTAGCTTCATGACAACAGTTAGCAACTTCAGTTTTTATTACACGACACGACATTCGAATCGAGGCAGTCTGCTCTTTTAGTGTCGACTCACCAATAAAACTGCATTGTGTCTATAGAACCCAGGCAAACAAATTAGTTCTGGCCCAGACACACACACATAAGTCAACTCCGGAGGAGCCAAAAGAGGGCATCAAAATATTAGACGCGTCAATAGCTCTGCACAATTTGCGCTTTTGCATTTGGAAGGCAATCGGGGCGACAAGTTGAACGTACGACATCAAATGCTGAATGGAGCTTGGGGCACGGGGCCATGGGGCAACCAATGTTCCTACATTGCCAATTCAATGGAACAAAAAGTGCAACCAACTCTGATGACGCGCACTCTCTGTTCATCGATGAGGATGTCGATGATATGGGAATGTGTGTTTAATGGTTGACATTGTTGTTTACAAATTGACTTTTTGTTGCTGCCACTGACGCTGCCGTTGCTTCTGCTGCTGCTCGTCAATAAACATTTGCCTGATAATATGCCAACATATGCATAACGTACATAAGTAGCTTAAAATCCCATACCCTTTTTTGGATTCTGGGACACTGGGAAAAATCTAGCTAGAACTAGACTCTTTCCACTCCAATTGATTTCTATTTCACATTAAAAAAACGTTTTTCTGTAAAAATCTTTAACAAATTCCTTAACTAGTTGTTAATAAGAAAAGCTATTTTTATGTTCGACAAATCTAACAATAATTATTAATTATTATAAAATAATAGAACGTTCTTTTATTCATTATAATCAGTATAATATTTTCAGAAAGGGTAAAGGTAAAGGTAATTAGCTAACTCCACAAGCAAAAAAAATGTTTTAATAGGGAAATATCAAGCTTATCATTTAGGCATTTTAAACCCAAAAATAATATAAAAACACATTTCTTATTAGAAAATACATTTAACTTTTATAATTAATTAATAAAGGAATTTCCCTTGATTTTGCTTCGTGCAGCAGAGCTGCAGCAATATCAGCAGCAACAGCAGCAGTCGAGCAAACATCAGGCGAATGGAGCTGTCCTCACTGGCATGCAGTCGCATCACATACGCGGACCACGCCCCCCGCTTCGCACCGCCTCCTCGACGACAACGAACAGTAGCAGCAATAACTCTGCAATGGGTGTGGCTGTGGGTGGAGGCGGTGGCAACATGCTGCTGGACCAAACGCCATCCGGCGGCAGCAGCAGCAGCGGAGTAAGCAGTGCCCCCAGCTCCTCGAAGGGTCACCACACCCACTCGCACTCGCATGCCGCCCACTTGGTGCACTCGCACGGCGACGGTAGCCTCGTCCTAACCTCCGCCTCACCGGTGGGCGGCCAACAGCAGCAGCAGCACCCGCAGCAGCATCAGCATACGCAGCAGCAACAACAGCAACAGCAGCAAGTGCCGCAGGCGGCGATGGACGAGATGCGCGTCTGATAGGTATCGGTCTTTGAGTTGGACTTATAGTCATCAACGGGGTAAGTTTTTATGGTAAAGAGAATATGTTTTTATTTTTAATAATTTAAAAAGTTTAATCATTTATTTTTGGTAATTTATCTTTTAAAATTATGTTTTTTTTCACAATCTTTCGTTAAAGTGAATAATTCTTACAATACAAAATCTGAACAATTTTTTCATCACATTATTCGAGATTTGACCTCTAAAACCTTTATTAAACCTATATTTTATCTTATAGAACATTGTTTTGAGAGGTGCATTTAAAATTAAGTTAAATAAAAATATCAGTTGACTTATTATACCTAAAAGACAGTGATCAATTTTTAACATTTTTTTAAATTTTGCAAATTATTTATTATTAAATTTAATATTTCCAATATCAAGGGATTTTCACACTCATGTTTCTTTGGACTTTTCATCACATTTGGACACTATATCACTCTCCTCCGAACATTCCTCTTCATCGTCATCTTCATTTTCATTTTCATCCTCGTCCTCATCATCTTCCTCATCATCCTTTATGAGAGGACATGGAGTCAGGGGATTTTCCGTAAACTCATATGTAATTTCTCCAAACGAATTTATTTTCGCATATTCATACAGATAGTATTTATTATTCATTTCGCGTATTATGCCAAAGCGTAGACCAACTTCCAGAGCCTTCTTCAATTCTTTGGTATAATATTTGGGTCGCAATGTGGAGTTTAAGGTGGTAAGAACGAACTCCAGTATGTCCTCCCAATCGCTGGGTGGGTCAAGTTTTTTCAGGGCCATTGTGAGGTAGTGCGATATAGTGAACCTCTCCATTTCCCAGTTTTGTATTTACTTTGTAAAATGACTAAAATTAATCCTTTATTGACAAAAAAATCAACCAAACATTCTAACAATTTAAAACTAAATTCAGTGGGAAATACCTTTAAAATGTACTTCCTGCTATACCCCTGGCGAAAAATGAATGACAAACATGCTGAACCCTTTAGAGAGCCGAAAAGAGCAAAGGTCGTGACGGGACATCCAACAAAAAAAAAAGGTAAAATAAAATATCTGCGCACACAGCCTCTGATCAAAAATAACAAACGGCATGTCAAACATGCGGCAGCAAAAAATGCTGGCTCTTTATTTGATAAAAAAAAAAAGGAGAACAAATAAAACATAAATATGCATGGAAAGCACGGAGTTCATGGTTCAAGGTGGACTCAAATGTCGCACTCACTGGCATGGAAAAATGCCAAACAGTGGGCGGCGGACAAAAAATACCAAAAATACCAACTGGAAAGCTTTAATGAAGAGTTTTCCGCAGAACCAAAACGAAAAAAAGTGAACAAGTAACTACAAATTAAATAAATAGGCAAGGTAATAATGCCTGGCCAGAGGCGAGTTAAATTATAAACGAAATTAAAAATGAAACCACCAGACCCAGCCATAACAAGTGGCAAGGTGCTAGGCAATTTGCGGCATGCAACTTGAAACCGAGCAGCCAACTAATTTATGAGCCCAATGTTTGGTCTCTGGAAATTCGAGCTAAACCAAATTAAAACTGCATTGCGGCCAGAGAAAATAAGAAAAACACAAAAATTGCATCAACTGGAAGCAAGTTGTGTAACGAAAACTGAACCACCACGTTGCATTCCTGTCAACTCAAAAGGAATTTAGCAAAAACAAGCAATTTTTTTTGGCAGTTAACCTGTGTTGAAGGTTGAAAGTGTTCTGAGGAAAATATTACGAATTTCCGTTCTGTTCTTGAGTTACTCTATAAATTTGTAAAAGCAATACACTTTATTATTATCCGCTACGCAGGTAGCCCTTTTCTTTCTCCCACCACCATAAAACCTGGCCAAAAAGATCAAGCCAATTACATTTTATCATCTACTTTGCTGGCCGCTTGCAGCCACTTCTGTACATAAGCTCTTATGTGGGTGTAAGGGGGGGTGTGTGTGTTTTTGAGTGAGTGTAAGTGGGTGTGTGAATGGGCAGGTGGATGGGTCAGGACACTATTTCACCTGGCGTACAATTAAATTTGCATTTCTTTCCTTTTTGTTTAACCCACGCTGCCTGCACAGCCTCCGCCTTGGTTTCCTTAACTTTTAGCTGATTAACATTTCTGCGCTGTGCTGTTGGCGCGGTGGAAAATGCAATTTTCCCCATCCAACTAAAGTGTAAGGGGAAGGCAAAGGGCAAATGGCAACTTTTATGTAAATTTACACCCACAAACAGGCACACACACACACACTCTCAGAGCTATACCCGGACAAGGGGGCGTGCCGAAGTGTATATGTGTTAAAAGCGCAATAAACATTAATTTCACATTCTTTTTCCTTAAGCCAGTCTCCACTTTGGCTTTGAGCTCCTTACACTTTGTTTAAGTTCCTTTCAGCTGCTGTTGAGTATTTTTGGCACTTGCTTAAATTATGATCAAAAGGTTGGAAAATGCGAGGGGGAAACGCAATCTTTGATTGCACTGCTTAAAGGGAAAACAATCATTGGAAATTGGTTTGTAAATTAAACAAATTAATAGTGAGATGCCCTAATATGCAAATGTCTCAAATTTAATCATTTGGCAAATTTAGGAATTTCTTAAGTCTGCATTTTCATTTGATTTTCTCTGCAGAAATAAGTAATTGCAATTTTGTTGTTTGTATTTTGGCACAGTTAATGGTCAAATTTAACACATTACTAAACAGTTAAGTCAACAAATGAAGGAAAATTCTACTTAAGTTTCTCATTAATTTTGCTTGGTCTTACAATTTATCTAGCGTAGCTACCTTAGCAGTGTTTAATTGAGATAATATTACGTAAACATAATATTTACAGTGATAAATATTAAAAAAATTCCATACATAAAATACATATATTAGCTGAAAGGCAAAGGGGATATTTATTAAAACATGAATTCCGGCAAAGGCCTGTGGGCCAAATGATCTCCATTTAGAAAAAACAACCCAGTGTCTGTCTTTCCCGCCGCCGGACTTTTAAAACTTTATAAAGTAGCAAAAATACATTTTGTTTAAAAACTGATTAAGAGTAAAGAATAATCTCACATTTTCACAAAGTGCGAATCAAGAAAAGGAACTAAAGACCGACCCAAAAAAAAGAAGAAAAAGCCGAGAAAAATGACCGACTTATCTAGGCAGGACACGGACCATGATAAGGACAGGGAGCTAAAGAGTTCCGGATCCTCCAGCTCGGCGAAGAATCACAAGAGTAACATTCGCGACAAGAATCGGCATAAAAGCAGCAGCAGTTCGTCGTCTAAACATCGGGACAAAAACGGTAGCAGCAGGTCATTATCCAGCAACAAACACAAGAATAAGAGTAGTAGTAGTAGTAGCAATCACAAGCCCTCGTCCTCGACTGGCTCTTCGAAGGACAAAGGACAAAGACCGCAGCAGCAGCAGCTCCTCCAACAGGCCCAAGTCTTCTTGTTCACCGTCTAGCTCCCGTTATAAAGAGCGCAAACGGTCACCTGGCTGGCATCCTGGATCGAAAATATACACGGTCAGGTCAAGTATATTATGCTGAATCCCTCCTCAAAACTAAAGGGTGAGAAGGATTACATTAAGTATGAGACGGCGAAACGACTGGACAAGGTGATCGATAAGATCCGGGCCAATCGAAGGAGAAGGTTCGTCAGGATTTGTAAGGATTCTATTCGCTACTTCAATGAGGTTGAGGTGGAAAAGCGAGTTTTTAAGAACCTCGAAGTCTTTATGGCGACGACCTCTTCGATCGACTCAAAACCCTCTTGCTTAACGAGCATCTCAAAGAGCTGATGGAAGGACGTTACAGGCCAAAGGTATTCCTTTACGTTTATACAATTCGCTTCCAAAACTCTGAATATTAAAATATAAAAAAAAAAAAGCCAACTTTTTTTTTAAGTTACAAATTATTTTTTTTTTTTTAAAAATAAATAATATAAAAGAATATGCTTACTGATCCAGTCGTGCTGTGACCATTCTCTGTAACCATCAACGTTCCGAGCCCAAGGGCCACAAAAAATCAATGGAGAACCTTAAAGAGAAGATTAGCGTAATGCCATCGATGATTGTGAATGAACAATGAAAAATATTTGTATTATTTACATTATTCTAAATGCTATTTTGATTACATTTATTTACAACTAAAACCACTTTAGAAATTAAATTGAAAACTTTGTAAGCCAAAAGTCAGCAATTTCCTCAATATTGTAAATTAATTTTTATTACCTACTAACGCCACTTTCGTTATTTATGATAATCAGTCCATGAACCTGAGCAAATTTCCGACACTTGAGTGATGTTTATTATTTCTTGGGGAATTTAAAACCCGTCAGTTCCCTCGATAGACCACTCAGCCCCCCTCCATTTCCCCTCCTTAACAGCACAAGATATGCAAAGTGGCTGCACAAACATGGGCGTAATACGTTAATGATGGTCTCTGGCTTTTCCCCCATTTTTCCCCACCCGCTGAGAACTCAACCTCCCCCCATCGAAAAAATACCCTTTTTCCACCCGTAACTTGCACACATTGTAGCAGCGATTTGCATTACGCGCATTACTCAGTTCACTCATTTTGCCGGGGCTTCTTTTTCTTTTAGTTTTGGTATCTTGCAAGGCGAAAGTCTAAACTGCATAGCTCTCTCCCTTCTTCCACCCCTTGGAAAACCACTCATGCCCCTTCATGCACCCCAGTCAACAATCTGCGCCAAATTGTGCGCTCAACTGTGCAGCAGCCATGCCTTCGCCTCCATCGCCCACTACTACCCCTTTTTAGCCCACCAATCTCTAACAACCCACCTAACACCAAGAACCCTAGGAACCCCAAGAACCACCCATAACCATCCCAATCCTGATGGCCAAAGAGCTGGCAAAACAAAAGGCAGCCGCGCATTTTTCGCAACTGCACTTTACTTTGCACTTTTCGCTTTCTTTGCATAAATTCTCGCCCACCCGAGTTTACAGTACTGCAAAAATGGGCACGCATAGCGAAAAAGAAAGAAAACAAATTGGCAGAAAAGTGTCACGGAAATGGACTAGGAGATACCCTCTAGTTTTCGATATAATGTGGAAAGCAATATAAACTCAACCTAACTTATTACCAATAAATCCTTAATTAACATTAAAAATTTAGCTCAGTAAACATTTATTTAAACTTTCAATTAACAATAATAAGAGTCATTAAATCGTGGATATTTTAAACATTTAAGTTAAGCTTCTGTTCTTAAAACCTTTTCAGACTGAGTTTTTCTGCAACATAAAAAAAGTCAGAATAAATTACTTTAAAAAAAGCTCCAAATACTTAAATTAAAAACTAATTTTTTTAATATTTTCAAGTATTTTTAAAATAAATTCTATAAAAATCAAAAATGCCTAAAAATTTCCGGGATTACCCAGTACAAAAACACAAACAGCGGTAGCTGAAGAAAAACTTAAAGAAGAAGCAGAGAAAGTATGAGAAAAAAAATGAAGAAAAAGAAGAGTAAGTTGAATAAATATAGCATGCAGCTGCTGCAGAAGATTTCCCGCTGAATTTTAAACTAAACACAAAAGCATAATGGAAAAATGGAAAGCGCCAACAGAGCGCAATGAAGTGTATGGCCATGAGAACGGCGCAACATCAACGAATCCGCGACCAAATGGAGCCGAGTTTTCACGATAGTAGGGTTAGGAGCAGATAGGCAAAACTCCTGGCGATATACCGCGGCCAACTGAGTGGCACTGATGGGTCTTCATTTCTGCCAGGCACTGTGTCGTTAAGGTTGATGTAGTCCCAGGGGAGGTGGTGTTGAAGAAAACGTCATGGGTGGGAAAAGTCATGGCTGCAACTGTTTGTCGATGTAGGAGAATACCAACTTCTCCAAGGGAAGTCTTGGATTCAGTGCAGGGATATACAAAACACTCCATACAAGTAACGAAGAAGATTGAAATGTTTCATGTTTTGGTAAACATTAATAAATGTAAAACCTTCTAAGGAAATGCATATTATATAAAATAAATTGCATTACTTTCTAATCTTGTCGTAAAAGCAAAGATAATAATATAAAGATCATTAACTACTTACAAGTTCATTTTTTGTTTGAGTTTAAAAATCTGTAAATGATTTAGTACTTAAATCCTTTCAATTATTTATCTTTCCCAAAACATTCTATTATATAATATTATTTGCTAAATTTATGGATAATTTAAGTTTAAAACGAATATAAAGATAAAACGTATTATCAACTTGATGTAAATATCGGCACTAAAAATGTTTTATTACCACAAATTATTCTTCACACAAATCATGAATATTTATGAGTTAAATTTGTATTTTCAACTCTATTTAAATATGTTTAAAAATATATTTTTAAACTTTAAAGTTCTCCAAATGACTTTAAGCCATAACCTGAACTGTTATTTTTTGTTGCAGCTCCATAGAAACTCTGCGAGCGGAAACGCCCGAGGAGTTCTATGCACCGAAGCAGGCGGATGATGGCAGCCAACTCAATGGGACACCAACAGATGCAGATGTACTGGGACTGGGACTGGGACTGGGAGTGGGAGTGGCGAAGGCTGGCGGAGGTAGACCGCCATCCATCTCCAACAGTGACCACAAACAACGGCAGCTAAAGAAGCTGCGTTTCAAGCGGGAAATGCACGCTTTGGCCCTGGAGGGCGGCGATGTGGCCAGGGGCTATTGCTCCTGCGATGAGCAGTGGACGAACTCCTCCTCACCGACGTCCACCACCACATCGGCCACCATGTCGCCGACACTGCCGACTGCTGCCGGAAATGCCAGTAGCGGACGCCTGGCAACAGGAAACGGGCCTAGTGGAAACTCGAGCGGCGGCAGCAGCGGTATTGTCAAAATGGCGGCAGCCGGAGCGGCGGGAAAGCGAAGCGGACGGCTCAAGCAGCAGCATCATGTGCGCTTTTCCGACGAGAAGAACTTCTCGGATTGAGAGGCGAAGAGAAACCAAACTACTAGACTGCACCTAATCTCTGTTTAGTCATAGGCTAACATTTTTCTCAACCCCCTCTCCTCTAGGAAAATGGGGGTGGGAAAAATCAAACAAATCATCAGAAAATCGAAAGAAAAAAAACAAATAATATATATAAATGAAAATTCGTAGATAAAGAAGTAATCAAGTAAGGAATCTGTAAATATATACATAAATATAGTTTGGGAGTGTTAGTTAAATATCTGTGTTTAGTTGCTCGATAGATCTGTTGTGAACCATATATATGCATATATATATATAGGTATATATAAATATATATATGAATATAATCAAGTAATCAAGTAAGTGTAGCACAAATGCATTTTTTCCACTCATCATCAGCTAATTGAAAGCAAATATTGATGGAAATTGTTGATAACGAAATTCTGTTGATGGCATTGTAAATATTCTAGTCAAAAATAAACAAAATGTGGTATTATTTACTAAAAGTAAAAAAACATTTAAACAAAAACAAAACAAAAACTAAACATTAAAAAGAAGAAAAACAACACAAACATGGCTCAAAATAGATTAGATTAAAAATGGGAATGATGAGAGGCATAACTGAAAACAAATAACTAGTTAATTATTTAAATTAATACTCTGAGGATGACAAAAAACAGACGAGTGACGCTTTTTTTTACTGTGTACAAAGCCAACTAATGCACTGAGAGATTAGGGAGATAAAAAATGCATAAATGCTTAATTTAATGAGGAAGTTTTCACACACAATCGAATTAATTATAGAACACACACGAAAATTGTTGCTCAAAGGCAACAAGTCAATTGGATTTTACAACTTTTAACTAATAAGTTTAATATTTTTCTAAAAAGTTTTAAACTAAAAAGTAACTATTTTTCCTCTTAAGTTAGCTTTTCCTATAACAAAATCCTAAATAGTTACCTCAACCTAACAGAAACTGCCAACTTCTCAAACTGTTTTTATTACAGAAAAACTTCATTTATTTAATTTTTTAAATCATCTTTAACAATATCTCTACTTCTAAGTACTCTTCCATATAATTTGTAAAAACATTCTGAATAAAAATCAATAAAAAAGCGTCGCCAAAAAAACACACAAATATGATATTTGTATTTTTAAGACTAAATTTATAATCGTCTAGTTTAAAAAATAAAAAAAATATGATTGCAGGACTTGCAGAGAACTAAATTAAGTAATTAATATGAAATAAAGTTAAAACTAAATGAGATATAAACAAACCATTAAACTAAAAACAATAAAAACTAAATAAAACTATAAAAATTTGGTGGTTTTTCTATTAAATTTGCTTTCTTTATTGTTTCCAAATAAAAGTTATATAAGTCTTTATATTAAATAAATACGTCTTTCTCAATCTTCAACTTAAAGATCCTTGATTAAAAATAAACATGTTTGCCCATAAAGTAAACCCTAGGACATAACAATTTCACATGTCTTAACCTGAAACTGGACCATGGTATTTCCTTTTGCAATTTATGAACTTTTGGGAATGCCTGCTAACAGCTAATAAAGACCTTAAGACCCCCGAGTGAACCCAATCTAACCCGAAGGATTCAAGGATTCATTTCGTTTTAAATGCCCTCCGTTTATGGGCAGAATTTTCGTTTTTGGGGGCAATTTTAATGGCTAAAATTTTTATGGCAGCCAACAGCGGTTATTAAATCAAATTTTATGCCTGGCCAGAAATATGGCAAAGGACATTCGAAGAAGGGGAGAAAGTTTGTTAAGTTCAGGCTGGAAATTCAAGGTTCTTACGAAATTAATTTATATGATAAAGTTCAAGCTTTCTGCTGAGCAGCGAAACACATCAAATATGTAACCAAGCCACTGAAACCAAAAAAACCGCCGCACTATCTGCTCTTGAAGCTTGTTTATGTTTGGCGAAAACTATTCCAATTAACTTGGCCAAAACGAAAACAAGAATGGCGGAAAAATAGAAAATGAAAGCTAAAAAAAGCAAAATACCCGCTGGTCATTTTGTAACTCTTTTGTAGACTGACTTTTCCGCCCATTTCCTCTCGCTCCCCCATTCAGCTTGTTTGTTTTGTTTGATGTGTGTTGCATGCAACATTGTTTTTTGTTTTCCTTTTTTCTTTTTTTTGTGTGTTTCAGCTTTTTTCTCTTTTACTCGTTTAGCAAGGGAGCTAAAGTTTTATGCGCAAATTTCATTATTTAAAATGTGTGTTGGTGTGAGTATGTAAAATTGGAGAGCTTGTGGGCATAATTAATTTAAAATTAAACACGCTTCACATTCGTTAAACCATTTTGATGAGCCCTCAAATTAGTGCTTATTTTTATTCTATTCGCTTGTTATTTAGTTAGTAATTAGGAATTTTAATTACTTGTCAAAAATGTTGCAATTTTATCTATCTAAAAAAATGCAACTAGTAAATAAGATTTTGTTTGCGGGTTTATATTATTATTAAATTCTTTTTACAAGCCTTTAAACGTATTGATTTGTTTGGTTACACTTTTTTGTGGAAAATAAATATTAACCTTTTGGAAAAGATTTGCTATTGGGAAATGTTTAAATAAAGGGAAAAAGCATTTTGATAAAACCGAAAGTTTGAAACAACAAAGAAATCTGCTGGAGGGATTCACAACTTTGTGGTACCCTTTTTATGAATTCTAAGGGAGCTTTGGAATATATGGTAATTCAATTTTATAAATTCAGATTGAAATATGTAATTTTCTTCAAGAAGAACTGGAAGCATTAATAGTTCAAAATATCTACCAAAAAATCTTGTTCATCATTTAAAAAATTTAAAAATTTTCACTTACAATAAACTTTTTTTTAAAAATCCTTATTTTTGATATTTTAATTCATACCAAATGGCTGAACTTCCTTCAGTTCAAACTAAAACCCCTCTAACCATTAGTCATATTTTCCAACAGGAAAAACTCCATCAGCATCCAAAAAAAAAAAATCAACTTAACGCTCTTGGAATTTCCCCCACTAACCACAACTTGCCGTAATGTCGGTTGTGAACGGAATATTCGCTTTTAATGTTTTCTTTTTATTACAAACTAAATGCGAAAAATGTGTTGGCCAAGAGAGTTATGTGAGGAGGGGTTTGGGGGTTGCTGATTCGGGGGGTGTCTTTGCTTGACACTTCCCACCTTTTTTATTTTAAATGTTTTATAGCTGAGAATTTTACAAATTACTTTTTGTGCAGCTCCAGTCAGTGACACACACTCACACACGTATACGAACATAAAATCTTGATGACAGGTGTGGCAAATTAGGATTATTATTTTAAATACCAAAAAACCCAACGACGACATTCACGATGCTAATTAATGCGAAAGGCAAACTGCTAAAATTTTATGATGCATTTTGATGAATGATTTTAGGATGGCGTTTGATCACATTTGTGTTGTAAAAATTAAAGTTTTAAGTATATATAAAAAAACTGTATTTTTAAGGTTTATCTTAAACATATTAGATACTTTAATGATTTTATACACAAAAAGCAATTTGTAAAATTAGTTTAGACTTTAAACTAGACTACTCTTAGTTAGTTTACAGTTTCAGAAATTTCATAATTTTATTTATTACCATAAATATTTCTTAAGTGAAAGTTGTAAAAGTTATAGCCATTTTACTTACGACTTTTAATCAACTCACTTCCTAACTCCATCTTGATAAATCCCATAATTATTTACTCCTAAATCAGTGTTAGAAATTTCACTCTTTCCCAACCACAGCATCAATTAATTAATTGAAGCCAATATTTTTGGGTCTTGGTAACCCGACTTGCACTTTTCGGCTCATTAAACTTCAAGTGTTACATTTTCATAGGCTGAAACCCGATGAAGAAGCTGAAGAATTCTCCTTCAGACTTGACTGCTCATAAAAGTCTAAAGTTATGGCAATAATAGCAGCAGCAGGCAGCAGCAACAGCGGCAGAAGGTACAACAATTTGTATTTTTGCAGCTGTTTTGCGGGGGTAGGAGAGGAGGCAAACACATTTATATGTTTTTCCCACGGTTAACACGACGTATGCGTAATTTATGTCACAAGCCGGCAGCAGGTGTACGGGTCACATAGCGCGGTTTTCATATTTCTAAAGTTCCGGCGCGAATTTGATGAATGTTTGCACTTTTTTACGGCTTTTCCATAGGAGCGCGTCTAATTTGGCGATAGTGCATTCATAAATTATCCACTCAAGAAAGCGAAATTTAATGGGAAATCATCAAGCTGAAATTGCTTTTAAAATCTGGCGCGCTGGATTTTAAGAAGGAATTTTTAGCTGCTAACGCCACACTAAAATTTAGAGTTGCCATTAAATAATATTTTACTCTAAAGTTTTATTGTTCTTAAAAATAAAATTATTAGTAACTTTAATTATAAAATATTAATAATTATTCTAAGGATCATTATATTAATAATTATTATAACAAATGAAAAAAGAAACAAGATTTTACCTTTTAAAGAAAATTTTAACTCAAAAACGGAAAATATTTTATTCTTTATTTAAACTTAGTACTTAACGAAGAATATATTGAAAACTTTAAAGGGTAAAACAATTTAAAACTCTATAAAATTTTAATAATTAGAAACTAGAATTTTCATATTTATATTTCTGAAAGCCCTAATTAACGGTGAATTAATTCCGTACCACTGTGCGCAGTTAAGGATTTTTCTCTAGCAAATACACCCTCCAATCAACCCTGGCTAGCCAATGCAACAACCGACATTGCCAGACCGTCAACGAATAAGATTAGATATTTGCAAAAAATTTATTTACTAAATATTATATGCATTGAGAATATAAAAAAAAATTAACTTGTCTGTAAATTATTTACTTAGTAAGTAAGAGGCAGATCTACTTTTTAGTCGACTTCTATATAATCCGCAAACATTTTCTATTATTTGTTGCAAATGTGGCATACATGTAACAGCTATCCGAATATATAAATAAAACTGTTAAAAAATGAGATGGTGGATGTTAAAAATTTAGTAAATAGGAATACACAATTTCAATAACGAATAATAACTATCGAAATTAAATACTGAAAATATCGATACATTTGTGAGTGGTAAGGCCATCACTTCTTCAATTCAATACGTACTATCTGTACTCTTCTTTCGCATTCAGTTCTTTAGAGTGCTGCAACCTATGGTTGGTCCATCGCACATGTTCGAACAGCTGATGTATTCCCAGCAATATCCAACACCGGTGCCTCCTAGTTGAACTACTAAAGCAATTTCAAAACAAAATTCTTACTCTCGAATCAAAAATAACCTAGACCAAACTAAAAACGAAAAGATTGAAACAGTTTGAAACGGCTTTGGTCAAACTCTAACGTTCCTCTCTTAAAAGGCTTAGCATTACTTTTTTTTCAAAAAAAATATTTAATACACAATGTTTTTTAAACAGCAAACGGGAGACTGGCGCCTCAACATTTCCGTTCAAAGAGAGCGGTTCGAGCTTGGACCGAACCGCTCGAAGCAGTCTCGAGACGCTCGATCTCAAACAACGTCGAACACATATAAAAACACGTATACGTAGAAAAATTGACGATTTGAAAATCCAATTTCGCCGCGTTCAAACGTAAAGCGTAGGCGGGCGTGTCGCGGATGTCGGAAGGTGGAGCTCTTGTGAATTGTTCTTGTGCCCCGCGCACCAAAAGCCAATAAGAGCCAAAACTGCCATTTTGTGAATAAAACGGTTCGTGACCAGGTGTTTATTACGAGTTTTTTTAATTAAACGCAATTTGAAATTCATTTGCAAATACAACGCACTCACGCACGCACATACACATACAAAACCGAGCGCACGCACAAGTGTAGGTGTGAAAACAAGTAAAACAGAGCTGGGAAAAACAAACTAAGCTGCATAGATACTTGCTAAATATTGGATTAAAGCCCAAAAAAAAGGCAAAATAATAATAATAACAACAACAAAAACAATCAATCGAAAATGCGCGTGTGGAAAAGAGAGGGAGAGAGAGAGCAGTAGACACACACAATCACACGCTGACGTCGACGCGCTGTCTGTTCAGTGGAGCAGTGTTGCCAGCCCACAAAACAGCTGCCCGAGAATCCCAATTAAATAATTAATAAGTTCAAATCAGAATTGGAGTATCTGAAGCAGAGCTTTGCTTTTGCATACTCCTTTTCCCCAATACGGCTTAGTGGCATTGGGGCTCTGCTGCTGAGTTGGCAACACTGGCCCCAGCCAGCCAAAAAATAGAGGCAGAGAACGACAGAGAGAGAGAGCAAGCGCGAGAGAGTCACATGCTGTGAGCGCTCATTTCAATTTTCCTCAATGAAACACTTTTCACGGTTTTCGGTTCGTCGGTTCGCGTTTTCCACAGCCAGCCAACAAATACATAATATAGCCAACATTTTTATTCGCAGTGCATGTGCAGCGCGGGAGAGCAAGAACCGCCAGCCAAACCGAGCTGTTAAATAATTTTTAAAGTGTTTGTGTTTTTAAAGTGTACAACCAAAAAAATCTTTTGCCTTTTGCATAACAAAAACAAACCGAGCAAATAAAAAAAAGTGAAGAAAGAGCCATATAAACACACACACATACGCTTAAAAACAAATATATATAGAGAGAAACGAACGCCTACGTCAATAAGTGAAAAACGGTAAGCGCAAATTCTTATACCCCATGTTGTGTGTGCTTGCCAATTGGAAAATTTCTTATTTCCCCTCCCTCTTCCGTTCTTTTTCACTCTCTCCTTTCCACTCTTGTTCCCCCTTTTCCTTGCTCGCTCTTACACTTGCTTTTACGTTGTTGGCAAGCCAGCGCTTCATTCATTTCCACAAACAGCCACACATACCAGCACACCCCCGCTCTCTTGGAAAGAGAAGGTGAGAGAGAAGCAATGGGGTTTCGGTGTGACCGTATTTATTTGTTGTAGCTGGTCAGGCCACGAAATTTGTATTCGAGAAATTCTATTCGCCTTTTGTTAACAAAAAATAAAAATAAAAAAAGTTAAGCAACAATGCTTTGAACATTTGCACATCATATTGTTCATAAAAAAAAAAAAAAAGAAGGTATAACAATGGCTCATAGAATTTCTATGTGCGTTTGTGTCTGTGTGCATTCTTTATCATTGATATGTTAAATGTGAAAAGTTGAAATTCAAATTAAGCTCTCAGTTTTTGTAAAAAAAACAATGGAGTGAGAATCGGCTACTGAAATTAGCTAAAGATAAAAGTGACTGGTTTTTGGAGGGTTTCATTAGGGAAATCATGATTAGTATAAGAGAGATTCCGTTGGCAGCAAATAAGTTAATAAAAGCAAGGTGCACAGGTAGAAATAGTTTATACTTATCGGGGGTCTCATAAATTTTAGAAATATTAATAAATAGTTTTAGGGATTAATGAAAGTATTTTTAAAATAAAATCATTTATAGAATTTGTAGGATATTTAGAATTCACTTTCAAATAGATAAATTTTATGAAGTTATTTTCTTTCTGTGCATTTGTCCAACTGTTACCAACTGAAGTTAACCGCCCCACCTCGTATCCCCCTCACACACACACAAACGCATTTGCACTCTGACTGGCTGGCCATCGATGTATGTATGTGTGCAATTAGCAACAAAACTCTCGCTGGCAACTGCATTTCATGAGATTCGAGCGATGCGTTGCCTTTGTTATTGTTGTTGCTGCCCAATTTATTCTCTCTCGTTCGCTCGCTCTCTCCCACCCTTTCTACTGCCTAATTTACATTTGAATGTGCGTGAGCGCGCATTTGTTGATAATTATCAGCAAATTACTAGACGCACTTAGCAGCAGCAACAACGCCAATGTGAAAAGTAATGCATACACACAATGAGCTAGTACAGTGGTCATTGTGAAAGAAGAAACCAAAAGTCAAAACTAAAAACCAAAAATTTAATTTTCAAAAAATGTTGCTTAATGACAAAATAATATCGGGAAAATTTTCCCTTCTTATTTGTTTTTAATGACATATTATCTAATTTTTTTTAGAATGACTACTGTACAAAATACTATTGTATTTGTACAACCAAAAGGCGTGTTTAAATGACATTTATAATGCAGATTTCACTCCTATTGCTGGCCTCACTTTTGTTGTTATTTTCTGCTTTTTGCCAATACACATTTTCTATAATTATTTTATTGTCATTCGCTCATATGGGTAGTAGGTGGGGTTATTTTTTTTGGAATAATTAATCAACGGCAAGAAGTTTTTGTTGCTAATTGGCAAGCCGTTTGTTCTGTGAATTAATCCAAACTGCGATACAGAAATAAACCCGTTGCTATGTCTACGACTTTGAGTTGTATATATATATATACTATATAGTTAGTGTACTATATGTGGCAAATCCAACTTTGGTGGCAAAAACTTAGTAATTCACTCACACGTACACATACAGCTAAAGAAACGCGCACGCCGATTGTTTATTAATTTCTTTTATTTGTACAAATTTGGTTTATCGTTAGCGGCAAATGTTTTTGCTATTTTTTTTTTTTTCATTTTTATTATTAACTTCATTATTCGAGGCATGGCACGTTTTTCTTGCCTAGTTATTTTTTGTTTCGTATTTTATTACATTGGCTTTAATGGTGTATGTGAGTGTGTGCCTTTTATGGACAGGACAATGAGCCAATTTTGGTATTGAAGCTAGTTTCTCAATTAGGCCAATGCACTTAAAGAAATTGAGATTCATTTGATTAATAGAAACTAGATCCCCTAAAAGCTATTATGAGGAAGTTATTTAGCTAAATCATATTGCCTCATATATTTTCCACATGAAACCTCCATTTAATTGTCATTAGTTATTATAGCCCTAAGCTTTACAAAATACCCCTGAAAAATCTTGTAAGAACCTTGAACAAATCATCTTCTTTTTCGACTTAGAAAAAACACATTTACATGATATATGTTTATGTAACTCAAGATCTTTTGTTTACATGACCGAACAGAAACCGAGATGAGAACCATTAAAAAGTTGAAATAAGCCACAAAAGCTGCAAACAACAAACAGCCCAACTCAAACGGCCAAAACTTCAATAACAATCCATCAAAAAGTTGAAATTGCCCAAAATCCAAGACAAAACCAGATCATGTAGAGCATGAAAAAAAACCCCAGACCAGACAGAAGGGCAGGCATTCAGGCAGATCCCCAGCAGCAGTCATGCCCAGATCGAAATATAAACACGAAATGAAAAAGATTAAGAAAAATGAAAAGAAAAGCATTTGTAATGGATGGTCTTAAAGTTCTGTCTGCTGCCGATTTAGCCTCGTCTACACTAAGACCGCAATGAATCGGAGTCTTTATTCCGGCATATGGTCGCAGTCAAAGTTCGGTGCCAAGAGTTGAGTAGATGGAATATAAAAAGTTTAGGGTATAGGGAGTAGTTGTAGGGTATTGATAGGCTATATTGTTTATTTAATGGAGTATATAAGAGATCTGGATGTTAAGATTAAAAATAACCATTTTACATTATATTTCTATTGCAGCTGAAGTCTCATAATTATATATTTAAGAAATTTTTCCACTCCAATTTCTTCTTTGAGATCCAATGAATAATAAACAGTAATATAAACAAAATATTTTTATATTTAAATTAAAAAAAAAAGATTATTATTATCAATTAAAATATTTTATATTTATTCTTAAATATGTGCATATGTTTTCAGTAGCTTATAAAAGTAAAAATAATAATTCCATATTACGCAAGTAAATCGTTAATTGGATCTAGTATAAAACCCTTTATTTTATAGTACTCTTTTGAAATTAAAGTAACAACCGTTTATAGTTATAGTACTAGTCTTTAGATATGGTGGTAATTTATAGTTTATGATAATCATGTTAATATAAAGAATGATTTAACGTAAAGACAGTATATAAGCTTTATCTAAAGTATTGACCTATTAAAATATCTTTCATATAAATTAAATGATTTAATTATTATTATGAAAAACATATTATAAATGCTCTTAATCACTCAATTATCAAGTGAATTTAGATAGTGTTTGAGACTAATGCGTAATACTTGAGGAAGAAATGCATATAGTATATCTTAATAATTTCCAGAGTAAATGATAAAGTGAAACTGGGATAAATGATATATATTATCACTCAGTAAGAGTATTGGGGGTTTTCCCATTTGACTTGCACACTAAATCCCTTGGCTACTGTATTCAGATTATGTGTATGTGTTTGTGTATGGAATATCACTGGTACTTGGAGGCTTCCTCTTCTTCTCTTCTTCTTGGAACTTTTGGTGTGCAGGCTGCACAGATGACGATCATCAGCGAATCGGCATATATATATATATATACACATGCATATATATACAGTGAGCATTAGCTCCAAGGAGTCGGGGGAAGAGCAGAGATGTGATGAGGAAGAAAGAACTCAGAAGACGAACGATAAGAAGGCGAAAAGGCGGCGAAGACGTTGTCATCCAGACATGGCGTATACGCAGCGTTGTACGCCGCGCGTATATATATATATGTATGTGTGCGTATATATGTATCTGGGTATTGGTGGCTGACTGCTTTTTACTACTATGTACTACGGGTTAACACCAGTAGCTGTCTGACGACTTGACGTTGTTGTTTGTTTCTTCGTTTTTATTTGTTTTATGCTGGGTTTTTTGTTCGATTTTCATCGTGTTGTACTTTTTGAAGTTCAAGAATATGGAAAGCCGAGAAGAAGGAGGTAGGTTCGTTTGGATGTGTGAGTGTGGGGGCTATGTAGAGTCTCATTTTGCGTCTGCTTCTTGGCTCTCTTTCTATAAAACTCCCCTCATCCCTCCGAAAAAAACTCCCCTCGCATGTTATAATATCTTGGTCTTCTTGTTTGACACTAACACACATTTAGGTGGCATTGTATCTGTGTGTATGGGCAACACACATTGATGTGTAACTCGTTGTTGTTGCTTCTGCTGCTGCCACAGACCGGTTTCCATGTTGCGTTAGCCTTTGCTGTTGTTGTTGCTGTGTATCTTGTAGTACGTCTTGCAGACTCGCCCCTCAGCATTCTACAAATACTATAAACATCGAGTTGTAGTACAACTTCTTATGGCATCCAGTTGGGGAGTCTGCAAAGATATTTCTTGAAAAAGTTTTTCTTGCTGCGGTTTACTTTTATTATTATTCCAGGCTTAGTACAAAATAGTTTATAAAAATATTTCTTTTTTAAATGATTAAAGAAGAAAATACTAAAAATAAAACGTGGTGATGAATATACTTGCCAGTTAAATAGAAATGATTCAATAAATATGAAACATTAACAATCATTTTATCTCAACCTTTGTTTCTCGATTCTTAAAAATTCTTTAGTATAAGTCACAGTAGCTTGCAATTTTTTCTGAGCTTTTTAATTGAGCACAAACTTGTTAATCACTAAGTCTGTGAAGTAAATGAAAAATGTTTTTTAAAAGTTGAATAAATTATATACTATTTGTTTTGCTTAAACTATAATACTTAGGAGCATGATGATTTATAAGCTTTGATAGCTATTTTTAAATTTTTGTTTCAAGCTTCTTTAAGCTTAAATGACTAATATTTAAAACTGGGTACATCTGTGGGGAAATGTCCAGCCTTATTGATTCGACTCGACTCACTCAATCTCGGGCTCCATTCGACCGTCTGACCTTAATC